AAAATATTGTTTCTAGACTAAATTGAAATAAACTACATAAATAATAGACTATTTATTAAATTTAGCTTTTCAATAATTAAAAATAGTTAAATAAATATTCAAAATTTTATATAAGTGTGATATGTAAAATTTATATATGAATAAATCCTCCTCACATATAGTAAGATCTACTTATACTCAAGTTTTACCTATTATATTTACATAAAATCTTAATCACTCATTTTCTCAGTTTCAATAGTTGATATTTATTAAAAATAATTATCTTTTTCATTAAAAAGTCATGATAAATCTCAATTATTGAAAATGAAGAGATGAATGATCAAAATTTTATTTTAATATGAATCCACTTACACGTAAGTTACTTTATTATCAATGATATGTAAAACTTATGTGTAAGTAGATTTATATTTATATAAAATTTTAATCATTTATCTTTTCATTTTCAATAATTGAGATTTATTACGATTTTTTAATTAAAAAAATAATTATTTTTTATAAATATAATAAAAAATAAATAAATTTCAACTATTCATGTAAATATGATGAATAAAACTTATATGTAAATAGATTCTTATTTTATATATATACATATATCTTTTCTTCTTCTTCTTCTTTTTTTTTTTTTTATGAGATTGTTTCGGGCAATTAGCAGAATCAGTGGCAGATGAATCCAATTGATTGTGCCTTGGCTGTTAGACGGCATAAGAGGATGTTGAAGAGTTTCCAAAAGCAGCATCAACGTTTAATATGAGGTCTTCATATAGACATGCATGAGTTGCTGGTTCCGGTCAACTATGCTATTTTTGGCTGATTGGTCTGTTCTGATAATGCCAACAATAGGATTTTAATTTTGTATATGGGTTGGAGTACCCTTGTACTCCCAAAATTAATATATTGATATTCGTTTTGCTGATCAAAAAAAAAAATTATCATTTGACACTAAATCAAGTAACACATTCTTATTGCAGCGCATATTCTGCTGCTGTGGGTTTGTCTAACAAGTCCATCCAACAACATTCTCCCTTTTTACTTCGCGCTAGGATTAATAACAATGGGCCAAGCAGAAGAAGATTGTGTGTTATCTTCTCCGGGATCAGCTTTCATCAGAATTATTTTAAAACCATTCGAGATCGACGAAAAAAGTCCTGTTACGACATTATTAATTAATTACTATACACTTAATTTAATATATTTTTTAATATTTATTTTGATTTAATTTTTAAAATATAATATAA